GGGAATCTCCAAGCCGTCTGTCGCTGCCTGACTGCAGCTCCATGTGTCTCCTTTTTTGGTATTTTCACGCAAATTCTTCTGCTAGTTGGGGTTTAGTCCACTTTGTATCTTTCCCTTCAAGGCTCAGGGGTCCAACATTATCTTCTGTGTCTCTGTTAATTGGTTTCCCTTTTCTTTGTTGAAGAGGGTCTGTGCAGTCCTTCTGCCTAGTCCACCATCTTGCCAGAACTGACCAAGGCTTTCTTGTCGCTCGTAAATTAAGATGGCCGGGTTTACCCTGTCCATGGGAAACCTCACGAAAGTTCAGATTTAGTACACTAAATCTATCAGAATATTTCAGTGACTTCATGCATGTAGATTTTGTTGTAGAAAAACAACAGTAAGAATGATTAAAATATGCCTTTCATGTAACAACAACAAAAAAGCATGGCTAACCAGCCCCCTGCAGGGCTCCCATTAAGCTATTTACAGAGCAGAGAGTAGGGAGCTCTGGTGGCACAGTGCCTAAGGCATTTGACTGCTGACCAGAAGGTTGGTGGTTCAAATCCACCAACCACTCCTCAGAAGGAAGACTGGGCAATCTGCTTCTGTAAAGATTTACTGCCTCAGAAACCCAAAGGGGGACTATGAGTCAGAATCTACTCAATAGCATTGAGTTTGGTTTGGTTTTTTGAGTCACTCTATGGAAGGAAGATGAGGTAATCTACTTCTGTAAAGATTTACCTCCTTGAAACGCAATGGGGGTTGCTATGAGTCAGAATCGACTGGATGCCAGTGTGTTTGGTTTGGTTTTTTTGGGTAGAAGACAGTATAGAAACACCTGGACATTCTTTATACCCCACACTGTGCTGTGGCTTTGGAGTGGAAGTCGGGGAAGAAGGAGCAGTATTTTTAAAGAATGTGCTTTTCTTTTCCATTAGCTGGAAGCTGGAGTTCCTCTTCCAAGCCCTATGGACTTGATGTATAAAATTCTAGTGAAAAATAAAAAGAAGTCACACAAGTCATCAGAAGGAAGTGGCAAAAAGAAGCTTTCGGAGCAAGCCTCCAACACGTACAGCGACTCCTCCAGCGTGTTTGAGCCCTCGTCTCCGGGAGCAGGTAAGGCCCTCTTTCTCCTCCACACTCCTGTTTGCAGCTTAAGAATTGTTGCCCTATAATGAGTTTGGATGGGCTTTAAAAGTTCTGTTTCAGCAATGTTAAACAGTATGGTTTCCCATGGCTGCTATAACAAATTAACACAGCTTGGTGGCTTCAAACTACCCTAATTTATTATCTTGCAATTCTGTAGGTTAGAAGTCCCCCAAGGGTCTCAACAGGCTAAAGTCATGATGTTGGCTGGGCTGTGTTCCTTTCTGGAGGCTCGTAGGGGAGATTCATTTCCTAGCCTTTTCCAGCCCCTAGAGGTCACCCACATTTCTTGGCTTCTGACCCTCTTCCTTCATCTTCAAAGCCAACAACATTGCATCTTCCTGAACCTGCTGTACAGTTACACCCCACCTTTGACCACAGCTGGGAAATGTCCTCTGCTTTCAAGGACTCATGTGATTATACTGAATCCATCCTGATAAATTCACCTTAAACAGTGATGAACTTCTTAATGTTGAGCAAAAGAAGTCAGATAAAAAAGTATATATGCTGTGGTTCCATTTATATAAAGTACAGAA